TTCCCGGGCCCCACACTGGCTGCCAATTCCTGGGGTTGTGGTCGTCTGCACCCTGGGAGAGGGTAAAGAAGCAGGGGTTCAGCTTCAGAGCAGGGGTCCAGCAGTCTGGACCAGTCCTTAGCTTCTGCAAGGTGCTCAGAGCCCTGCTGGCTTGGGAGCTCAGGGCAGGCCTCTGCTTCCTCTAGGGCTGGGTCCTTAGGGAGCTCCTGGGCTAGGTTTTTATCCTTCCTACCCTGTCCCTGAGCTCCCAAGGAGTTAAAGGAGCAGCATTGGGTTCGGCCCACCCAGTCTCAGAGAGGGGTTCTTCACCCTCAGGGTCAGTGAAATATTTTGGCCACCCCTTACCAATATAGTCACACATAGAAAGCAGAATTAAACTCAGTCTTTGGCAAATAAAGTCTGCCAAGATAACAGCATAAAAAGATACAGCTGCAGGAAAAATACTAAATTACTGAAAACATTTGTCTGGTCTCGTCTGGCAGCAAACAGAATACTGGGCTAGATGGCTATAGGGTCAGTGGTGGCCACTCATTAGACAGCTGTGCGGATGGTGCTGGAGGCAGGGGCCTACCTGCTCCCTCCTGTTCTCCCCCCCCCCATAGCTGGGACCATTTTCCTCCAGCCCCAGCCCATACGATCATGGCAGACTGGAGGAGAATCTTTGGCGAGCTGGATGTGGTGCACAGGCCATATTTTGCCCATCCCTACTCTAGGTCCAGTCTAGTGGGGTATAAATAATTATACTGGACTACATGGATCACTGTACTCATATCCAGCAGAATAGCCTGCAGGATGCTGCTCTAGATATTGCACCGTTAGTCTGAGCTAACCTGGGAGGAGGCAGAATACTGAACTAGACAACCTGTTTGTCCAATCAGGAATGGCAGGTAGCAGCATGTCAAATTAAATGGGTGACTAGTCTGGTCTAGTACTAAAGGAGGCAGGATTATTAGATTAGAAAGATTATTGGTTTGTGTTGGTGTGGCGAGAAGTTACTGGACTGTTTGGTTCACTTGTTTGTTCCATTCTGGCGACTCATATGTTCTCCTGATTGAGCCCTATAGTCCCTTGAGTCATCTGAGCTTGCTGCTCTTCTTCCTTGTCCTTGGACAATGGAACCTTTATGCTGTTAAAAAATCAATCATAACTGTCTGATTTTCACCAGACGTGACATCAGTGCCTGTGGCTTTAAACTCCGTTAGCCCAAATTTGATATCCAGTCTCAGTTGGCGGTTTCTCCCCAGCTCTGTGTTTGGAGTTGGCACAGTACAGGTGCCGAGTGTTTTTAGCCCCTTCTCATCTATGTACTTCGCAGCCTTCTTTTCTGTGCAATAGAAACCGAAAGCCACACTTGTCTGATCTGGTTCCACGGGAGTGAAAGTATAACTGGCAACCTCATCTACCGCCACCAAATCCCCAATTCCCACCAGCTTCTTGAAGAGATCTGTGCAATATTCATAATTATCTGCTTTTGAGACTCTCTTTTTCTGTGTGTCATGGACAGCAATATCAAATGTCTCACATACCGCTACTCCATATGTCAGAGCGCTGATTCTCGAGGCAACAATTTGCTGATTGTGCCCAAATAAAACTGCCCCCTTTACAATAGCTGCCTGAGCTTCCAGTGGACACAGGATATGGTACTGCTTCCTAAAGGTCTCATAGATCTTCTCCCTCAGGATAATGCTGGAAGCAAAGCCTCCGACCAGTAAAATATATTGGACCATGGTCATCTCAGGCTTGCTGAGGATTTCCAGCAAGGCATCAATGGTTTGTCTGATACTGTAGGCAAAAAAGCTCTTCATTTTTTCATATGTAATCATGATAGTCCCATCACACCACTCAGCTCCCTCCACATCCTTGAAGAAGTGGGAGATGTCTCTGTACTTGCGCTCTGCCACTCTTGTGAGGTTATGGTAGCAATGTAAGTAGACATCATCTTTGCTGGAAGAGCATTTTTGAAGCCCAAAGTTGTACATCATCTGCTGGCATTCTGTTGGGTGATTCTGCGCATATTCATCCCATACTCCTTCGTGGAAGATCTCCTTCAGGAACTCTTTGAAGTTTTCATCCACTGTGCTGCCTCCCCATCCTCCTCCCGATGCCTTATGTAATTCTTTCAGGGATTGATTCTTTTGGATTTCATGTACTGTGATGTCGATGGTGCCACCTAACACCCAAAATTAATAAAATTAGTGAATCTTTAAAAGAAGTCAGTGCCTTCACTTTAGCTGAGAAGGATGCTTTCTAAAGACAGTCCCTACCTTTACATAAGTTAAAAAAAAGCTCACAATTAGCACACGTGCTCTGGAAATTGGGATTCGGAGCTGCTCATTCTTTAGGTCATAATCTTTCTATACGCATTCTAGACTCTAGCAAGCACATGTTGATGTCCTCAAACTCATCTGAAAGTTGGTAACAGCTGTGAGATATGACCATCTGTTGGGTGTTCAGTGGCCTGTAGGAAATGTGCTGGTGAGTCAAACTCATCCAGTGAACAAGTGGCCACATCTTAGTTGATGCCAAGTCCTTTGTGGGTAGTCTGCAGAGATGTCTGAACTGAGTAGATGCAAAAACTGACACGATGCCTGTCTACACTGGCCTCTTGCTCAAGAACAGTTGCGCAAAAGGACTTATTCCTGAGCGGGAGCGTCAGAGTTCTGGCTCAAGAAGCCCTGATTTCATACATTAGAACATCAGCTTACTTGCGCAAGAACATGAGGTCAGTGTAGACAAGCAGCAAGTTTTTGCGCAAGATCGCGCCAGTGTAGACACAGCCTTAGGGTATGCAGGTTAACAGGTTTGTTACAGATACCCATAAAGCAGTATGGGATAGCAATTGGAGGACTGCCAAAGTGGTGCAGCATTGTGTGCACACACATAATACTCCACACTAATTCAATTTGCATTGAGTTTGCATACTCTTTGAAAGAGGACTATAGAATTCTCTGTAAATAAGGAGTTAGCATGCTGAAGGGTTATATGTTAGTGTACCAAGCTTTTTCACTCCTCATTAAATTCACTTTGTATAGGCTAAAGCCCCATCTAGACAAGCTTTCAGGTGCCTGCTTTTTCAGGTAGACGTTAAAGAAACCAGAGCAACCAGAGCATGGAGGATCAGAGGTCCGTATAGGGCTCGGTGTCTTGCTCTCTTCGCCAGAAGAGGCTGCGTCTACTGAACAGACAAAGTCTGCAGGTAGCAGAGATTTTTATTTATTTAAGAGGGGAAAAGTTACCTCCACAATCCACCACGACATACTGGGTTCCTGGTGACTCCTCAAACTTTTGTCTGTGACCACCTTCTGCCACAAAGCCTTCCTGTGGGAGCTGCTTGCACCAGATTGAGGCGGCTTCTGGTTCTAGAGCAATGATGAGCTTCTCAGAAAGCATGTCACCGATGAGGCCTGCCTAAAATCACAAGAGAACCTGATCACACCGGGAATGGTGGTGGGATTCTGGCCTCCCACCACTGAGATGCACCATGAGCACTGGATGTTGGCCAGGTTCTTCTAATCCCAGGGAAATTGGGGTGGCCTATCTGGAATGGTCTGTTCCATCTTGTCTATTCTCAGCTGTGACTAGAGCCAGATGAGTCAGAGGCAGGTGAACCCCCCACTCCATGTTCATGGATAATTCATGAGCAAAACTGTAACTTGGTGTGGTCTGGGAGGGGAATTTCTACCTGATTCCAGCCAGTATGAGTGTATGCCACCGCACATGAGGCTCCATGGCCCCTGTAATGGCTCTTCCAGCTAGTCTCGCTACAGATGCTTGTCTCAGAGGAGGCTCTAAGTCAGTAGATGTTTGTTGCTGCATGCAGTAATGTATAGAAAGCAAGGCAGGGTTCCTCCTCCTTTTCTGTACTGTAACAACTTCTCCCGCCTAGGCCTGACCTCATCAGGGCCCCCCTCTAATTTAGCAGCATAGAAAGGCAAGGTTGAAAACACCTGATGTAAGAAAAAATCTGTGACTCCACCCCTGAGCAAGTTTTAAATTTAAAATACGATTTGTTTAAATGCTGAACAAGTCTTCTGTACTGTTGGGCAGAGAAAATTCTGGAGAATCTCAGAGGCAATTGGGCTGTTACTCACTTTACCTCTTTAGCTGCCAGTCGCATGAACTGCCTGGCAGAAGCATCCCATATGGCTGGAACAGTAACGACCCAGGTGACATCATCAGTGTCATAGACAGCTTGGTATGAGGCTTCCTGTATGGTGTTCAGAGCATGATCCTTCATGTACCGCAGACTTTCTGAGAACACCGTTAGGGCTGGAAGCCTCTTTCCATCATCTGCTTCTAGTTCCATGTTGGAAGTGATTTTCTAGAAGTGAGAAAAAACAAATCACTTTGATTTGTATTGAGGTAGTGCAACTTGCTGCTGGGTGTGTTGCCAGTTCCCCTCCCTGCCTCCAGTGCAGCCAACGCACTGAGAGTTGAACTAGGGCTCTCCAGAGCAGGGCCAGATTAATAGTTTGTGGGGCTAGCACCAAACACATGTGTGGGCCCCCAATTGTGGACAGGCTTAAAAATCAAGCCCAAGCCCATCTGAAACCCAAATCATCATTTTTCAACAGAAAAAACTTGGGGTTGGACAATTTCTCACAATTTCTCTCATTTTCCCACCCTCCTTCATACCCCATACCAGATGTCCACCAGGAAGTGGTGATATATAATCTCCCAGAAAATAATGATGGTGACCGGGCACTGCTTGGTCCCCATGCAGTTCCAGTTTTTGAGAATGCAGTTGAAATCCACACTTGACACCAGGCACTCTCAAGGATCTGAACAGCTGAGGACGGGAGTGACTGCTGAGGAAGATGGACCATGCAGTTTGTCTCTCAGCACAATGGGGATCAGGGTCATAGACACCTGAATATCTGCCAGTTGGAACCCCCTTCCAGCCACATGGCCAATCAAGATGGTCAAGTAGGGATGAAGTCCACACTGGGTGGGACAAATAAATTAACTAAAGAACCACAAAGTTACAGGCCCCTCAGAAAATGGGGGGGGGGGGAAGATGGACCATGCAGTTTGTCTCTCAGCACAATGGGGATCAGGGTCATAGACACCTGAATATCTGCCAGTTGGAACCCCCTTCCAGCCACATGGCCAATCAAGATGGTCAAGTAGGGATGAAGTCCACACTGGGTGGGACAAATAAATTAACTAAAGAACCACAAAGTTACAGGCCCCTCAGAAAATGGGGGGGGGGGGGCAAATGGGAGCAAAATGGCCCGAGTGAGATGGGAAGGGCAGGCAGCAAAGGGAAAGGGGAAAGTATTCCCAGACATGCTTGATAAAAGGTTGGCAATAAAGGGTAGGAATAAATGGCCTGTTTTCAGAATGGAGAGATGTAACTAGTGGTGTCCCCAAAGCGCCTATATTGTGCTGTTATATTTGCTTGTTTCATGATCTGCAAACAGGAGTAAACAATAAGATGGCAAAGTTTTCAGATCATACAAAATTTCTTAAGACAGTTAAGTCTAAAACAAACTGCAAAGAATTACAACAAAGAGCTCTTACAAAACTGGGTTACTTGGCAACAAAATTTCAGATGCTTAAGTAAGCACCTCCCAGCCAGAGCCTGCCTCTGGCACCCGCAACCTCTCCACCCCCCAACTACCTGTCCCAAGCAACCACCCAAACCCTCTGTACCTCTTTCCCACAGGTCACAACTCCCTCCCAGACCCTGCACCACGTTCAGACTCCTCTCTGGCACCCACACTCCCTCCCTGATGCTGCACCTCATTTCCCTACCCTGGGTCACCACCCAAACCCTCTGCACTCCCTTCACCCAGGTCACAATTCCCTCCCAGAACGTGCAACCCTTCCTATAACCCCTCCCCCAGGCCAGAATCCTCTCCTGTGCCATATTGCCTTTTGGACGCTGCACCCCAAGCCTCTGCCCCAAATCACAACCCACTCTTTCACCAAAATTCCCTCTCAGACCTCTCACCCCCTCCTACACCGCAGTCTCCTTCTCAAAGCTGTCTTCTGCACCCGACCTCTGTCCCAAACCCCACATCCCCCCAGCAGAAATGTGGCTCTTGTCCACTTGCCAAAATCTTGGAGTGGCCCCCCATTAAAAATTATTGTCCAGTCCTGGCCTAAACCATGGACAGTTGGTGAATATTGCACCTTTCCCCTCTATAGGGTCCAGGCATGGGTGGTGGATGAAGGTAGGCTGGGGATAAGCAAGTCCCCAACCCAGCCCTGCTCCTTTTGCCCAAGCCCCACCACTGTAATTGGGGGAAGGAGCAGCACATAACCCAAGCCAAGCCGCCTTGTCCCCAGCCCTGGAGCACAGGGAGGGTAGGCACTGGGGGCGGCAACACTCCACCCCCAGAATGTCTACAGCAGGTGTTCTGGGGGCAGAGTGTGGGTGGGGGCAAGCTGGCAGTTTGGAGAGGCAGAACCTTCCCCCGCCTTCCATAGTAGATGCCCATGGCCTGGACAGTGGCAAGGTCAGGGCTGAGCACTTAGTTCGAACTAGGAAAACCTCATTTTACGAGGATTAAGCCTAGTTCGAACTAGCTAGTTCGAATTAAGGGCTGTGTAGCCCCTTAATTCGAACTAGTGGGAGGCTAGCCCTCCCCAGGTTTC